TGTTTCGAATTTACATTGAGGTCTGAAGAAAATTGGAAATAGGTCTATGTGTTTGAGGTAAGCCACCAGATTAAATATTTTAATAATAATAATTTTTTATTGGTTTAATAAATTTTTTAACTTTTAGGGCTCATATATAAAGCAAAAATACATTGTCAAATAAATATATATGAACGTATAAGAAAAGTTAGAACATTAAATTTAGGTTACAATTAATCAGAACTGAGACTTTTCAAACAGTTTTGCTTATTAATTAATTATTAATGCAACTTTAACTGTTTAACTTCAATCCTAAATGAACAATGGAGCAAAAACGTAGGAAAGAAATTAAATTTAACCTGAGTTCAAAATCTGAAATATCGCAATGTTAATGACATGCAACCATAGATTTCTTTAGAAGCTCTATTACGGCATATATTGGTTACCAGGTTTATATGTGATAAAAATCGGTGTAGACAAAAATTTGTTTAGATGTTCCTTAACCTTAGACAAGCCAAAATAAATCGTATTGGTTTAGGCAGACGTTATTCATCTATCGATTGAATATAGACTCAGTTTAGCTAAATACAGACGTTGATAGACGTTTGTATTTTTGTTAACCTGATTGTACCACCATTTTTAGGAAGCAATTATGTTTAGTATTTCAAGAGGGAAGTGCAACTCCAACTGTATAAGCAACATTGGTTACCTTAAATTTGTAACACTGAGGTATAGACCCGCGCACTTCTAAATCTATAGATTGTTGTGATTTTATTTTCCTATAAAAAAATAGTATGACAAACTTTATAAACTATTTTCATATGAGTGTAGAGAGTATGATTACAATGAATATGACAAATTCGCATTTTTCATACCATAGTTTTTGTTTATTTTCTTCTCTATATCTCGTTTTAATTTTAATTTTTTTTTCGGTAGTAGTAGTTGCTATTTAGTGTTTAAATTGTTTAAAGTTTTCTTTTTCTATGCCGCCTTCGTATTGATAAGCGATAAAAGCAACAAAATTTATGACAATTTATTAATTAATAATTTTTTTATTGCACTGCTTTAAATTACGTCTGCGACTTTGTTAATTTTCCTCTTTTTTTTTTGCTTTTATATTTTTGGTTAATTATGTTTATTTTTTTCTCGTGTGGAGTATAAGAGAATCTCTAAGTAGAGAAGAATTGGGTTCTGGTAGTAGATATTAACCAAAAGTTGAGCCAGTATAATTGCTAAATTATTAAATTTAGAAATCATGTTTTATGTGTAGGATTACGTGTGTGTATATAAAATAATAAATATTTTTAATATTAAAATTAAGCGGAAACAATTGGAGTAATTAAAAAATCGATTCATTTCTAACTAGTACATTTAGACTATGGTAAATAAAAATGTTACGAGATAGTGGCTACCAAAGTGGCAGAACAGTTACTATAGGTGATCTTTAATGCTTTTAACTGATCGTAAATGAACAGAAGACATTAAGCCTCTGAAATGAAAGCCAAAATGTCAGCTGTTCAGGACATCTTAACATTATACGGAGATAGGATCTTCTATATTTAAACGTACAAAATTCAACTTTTCTTTGTTTTTAAAGGATGAATGTTGTATCCACTTATTTTAATCGAAATGTAAACATCGTCTGTTTAAATATTAATTAAGAAACAACGAAGGCTAAAAAAAATGTTCCCAAAAAAAGTTGACACAAAACTTAATATTATCTATAAAATGACTTATGTAAATAGTTTGTCATATACCGATTTTTATTTTGGCATCATGTTTAGTAGAACCCTCACTCGAAGATGCATTCGTTTCTTACTTACTTCAATGGAGCTATCATCAGTGGAATCCACCATCAATGACGTCACTAATCTGTTTTCACGCACACTAAAATTTGAGTCCAATCGATCTTTAGACCCGTCTCATTAAAGTGGTTAGGTTTTTCCGCCCATTCTAAATACATTCTTACTCCTAAACAATTTCATCATCTTGCACACTACCATTATCTATCCACATCCTAACCCATATAAAAGTCTTTGTAATTATTTTCATGTGTTCTGCTTTATAGATCCCTGTGGACTGCAACACCAACTTCACTCACGCATACAGTCAGTTTTAACTTAGCTCAAACGTATATGTATCTATTTTTAAATACACATGTGCCACCTTATAGCACCAAAAAAGTAAGTATAAGGAAAACAAAAAAGTGAAATAATTTTTAAAACAATGAAATAATTTTTAAAACAATAAAATAATTCAATAAAAACATTCTGTAAAAAATCTCTAAGAACGTTTTCTAACTTAAAAAGTGCCAGTTCAATACAAAACTTCTACACATAAATGATTTTTGTAGAGCAAGTTAATAATTTATAGCGATTTTTTTTAAAAATATTCAGGATGCGTACCCAATGTCCATGTGTCATACTTTAATATTGTATCTCAAGATTTATTTACGTTGGAACGAATAAACGTAAAGGGAACTAAATAAATCCATTTTGTTCAATGGCAAAAGAATATATGTTAATAGTGTTGTCTCCAAAGTCCATTTATTGTATTAAAAATATATTCTTAGAAAATCCTTATATATCATTTTTACACTATTTGTAAATGTATATATCTTACATGTTATTTCTATTTTAAATGCATAAACAGTTTTCATGAACAAAATTCAACAGTTTGGAGTATTTATTTACGTTATGCTTAAATTTATTGTCTCATTAAAAGAAAAACACAAATCAAATGAATTAACTGAAAAATATATATACTTTTCCGCACATCAAAGAAACCAAAATGTTTATACACATTGATACCCCTTATAAACAATGTTGCACTTACAATTGCTCCACAAACAAAACAATATCACGCCAATGCACTTTTGCGGTTTTACATCCGCTAAAATTCATTATTTTATACTTATTTAAGTATAATTAAATCAAAAAAAAATTAATTACTATGTGTTCATTAATTTATGGAATTTTGTTTAATTATTATACATACTTTTAAAGGAATTTATATTTTGATAGCTAAATTTCACGTTAAATTCCATAAGGTAAGTTAACAAAACAAAATACCTAACAACAACAAAAGGCAGCCATGCAACCGTGCAACACTAAAAGCATAAGCGAATGTCAAAATAAAAACAAAATCCACATAAAAGGAGTAGGCATATAAACAAAAAATTTGTTTTTTTCTACGTAAATAACATGCACAAGAAAGCAAAATAAACACAAACACGCACGTAACAAAATTTTTGAAGATATTAAAGGAAGCAAATAAAAATCGTAACAAGTGGAGGAAATGAAATATGGAATGAAAATAATGCAATAAAAATTTTAATTAAGAATTAGGAACATCGTGCAAAATACCGCAAATAGTAAAAATACATCTTTGTTAACATATAATTTATTAAATTTATTCTTAATCTTTTTTATCATATTTAATTGTAGCAAAATTTATTTTTATCATTATTTACATTACGTTTTCCACTTTAACGCACTTGATGCGCTGGTGTTTTCTTTTAGTTACTAGTAGAATGCATATTATGCCTTTTCTTAGATATGGTTCACATTATATGTATTAATTATAAAGTAATTCACAAATCTAAAGAATTAAATAAGAAATACAATTTACGCAATTAATTTCTTTTTTCATATTATATATATATATGTTTTCAAAAATTTTCACATGATAACGCGCAACACGTCCACACACCGATAGAGCAAGATTCGATTTGATAGTTGCGCCAGTCGGTATTTTCTTATTCCTCATATTCATCACAATGTTGTATTCACATTATATTGTGTATATGAACTACAGTAGAAGTAGATATTACACAGTCATAACACAAATTAATACACAAAAAATACAATATACAGTGAATAATAATCGAAAATGTTTAACATATATTAGGTTTTAAAAAGTCAGCTATTTTTTTCACTTTATTTTTTAGATTGAATAAAATATTATATACAGGGTGTTGCAAATTACATTACATAAATACGGGATATGTTTTCATTGATTCAAGAAACGAAAATTATTATTTGTGCTTTCAGAAAGTACATTATTTTTATTTTTGTCAAATATTTTTAAAAATTTCTTTATTTTTATTTAATATTCAATTCTAATTTAATTCGGTGCAAATATATTTTCTTTGTTGTTTTATTAGAATGAAAGAATGTTAATATTTTCTAATTAATTAATTATTACTGTTTCGAATTATTGAGAATGCTCTACTTAAAACATTTCAAAGTAACATTCCATCAATGATAAAATAATTTTTTTATATTGACAATTATACTTCGCATATATGTTAAGATATTTGAATTAGGAAAGTGACATAGAAATAAATTCGAAAAAGTTTTACATGCTAAATAAAAGTAATATTTTTTGGTTTTAGTTTGAACCTTGTTAAAAACTTTAATTATAACTTATTCACACAGCATAAATAATTTCATATTAGATTCACACAAGAGATTTTTTTTGTAATTTAAGCTGTCAAAAATGTTAATTTTGAATTGAAAGCCGCAACAATTGACAGCTAAAATTACAAACATGATAGCTAAAATTACGGGTATGCTTTTACTTTGATGCTATTTTTAATTTTTTTCGTTGGAGTTATGTAGGTTTTATATTAAGATTAATTACATATCATACTCAGATTTAAATGCATCATTTCATATATGAGAACCTTTATAGTTACTTTAAGGTCATTAAAATCGATTTTAGGATCATAGAACACCTTTTGTGCTCAAGTTGGCTTTGGTATACAGCCACCATATTAATCCACCGTAACAGCATTAAAATAATTTTGCTTCAAAGTACATTTAACTTATTAAAATCAATTAATTATTAATTTTAGTAAGACAACTCTTTTAAGCGTTGCATAAAAGAATTAAAAATACTTTTAAGCTGCCTTGGAAGATTTCAGTTAATATCAACTTTAAAAGCAATATAAATTTTTGTAATTTTTGAACCTATTTTAAAATACTAGAACTGAAAGATTCGCATAAACTAGCAAGTATTTGTGAACGTATAGTATTGCTTTAGATATTTATATAAAAACGTTTTACAGCACTGTTCCAATCTTTTGACATTTCTCTTTTGACGCGCCAATTGTTTAAAAACAACCGTCAGTACCAAAGCATTTTAGATTTGTCGTTGATTAGGCTTATGTGAAATTAAATTATGAGGCGTCATAATAAACCGGGACCAAAGTCTCGTACAAAAACAGTTTCAATGGATTTGGGTGATACCGACACGGATAACACAAGCAGTTTTTCGTCTGATTTCCAGTCGCCGGAGAGAGCGTCTAGTCGAATTCTAAATGCATCCCAAAGTAGAAGCAATATATCTGTGCCCGCTGCAAGGAGGCTATCACCTAGAAAGTCGGCCACAAATCTTCAAAGCCAACAATCTACAATAACGAAGCCAACAGCAAGAAAATCGACTGCAAGAAATCAAAGTCAACAATCAACAACGTCGAGAAGTGCTGCGGCTTCAAACGCGAGGGTAGAGTCTAGTCTGAATAGAAGACCACGTAAAAGAAATGCCCCTACTAAATGTATACAAGATATTGTGAGGTTGCAACAAACCGTGAACTTATTGATACCAAGGCTACCATTTGGTCGTATCGTCCGGGAAATAATGATGGAATGCTCCTCCTCTGTTGATCGGATAACGAAGGAAGCGCTAGAAGCTTTGCAAACAGCAGCCGAAATGTACATGGTTTCAATATGTTCGGATGCGTACTTATTGACGTTACATCGAAATCGTGTTACACTTATGGTTAAAGATGTAGAATTAGTTAGTTTTTTACGCTCGAGTATGAATGTTTTGTAATTATTGTACATTTTGCTTATGATAGTATGAAGTGAATAATTATTATTTTAGTGTTTATTTAATATTAATCTATATATATAATAAAAGGTTTGATTTTTTTAAAAACGTTTATTTGTGTTGAAAAGTACTTCTAGTAGTACGAAGTATTGTTAGTTAAGTACGCAATTGTCCGTTAATCACTGTTTCCAGCTTAACCCACACTGTGTAGTGATATCATCATATAATTGTCTATGTTGTTTTTACAATATTGACAATTTCGTAAAATATTTGCACAAAACTACCACTGATATTGGTTGAACAGCCAACACTTTCTTATTCCTTAAGTGTCACTATTTAACACAACTGATTTTAGTCTCTAAATTAGACTAGTTTCCACTATTTTGAGTGCGTACTGCTGCTCTGATTTTTTTTACACAATCTTTCATGCCAACTCGTGTTATTTTAAAGTAAAGGATTTGAACAAATCAAAAATTGTGTTTTGGATTTAATAAATTTTAAAGGAAAGCTCAGGTAAAAATATATTTAATTTTAATAATTTAATCGTTTTAATCAATATAAAATTTGTTGCAATGCTTTTAAACCTTAAGAATGGTACATATCGCATGTTGCTGTCCATAACCACTAATCATCATCCAAATATGTTATCATCTGCAACTTTATGCTATCCAGCGTATTCCAAATTACATATGAAAGTATATTAGTGAAATCTGTGCTATCACTGAAAGAAAACCGAAAACGATAGAATAAAAATCTAACACAAGGCGGTTCAAGAAATAGTAGCAGCTTAAACCAAAAACAAAATTATAAAGACACGAATCTCCTAATTAAAAACCTTGAGTATTTATTTTCTAGGAATAGTATAATAATGCTAGGAATAGATATTAGTGTCACAGAAACACTGCCAGATTTAACATAAAAATAAAAAAAAAATAAAAAGCAAAGATCTGGAGCATTTATTTTCTAGGAACCTCAGAATTATGCTACTATAGTTAAGATTGATGCGTAATGCTGATAAGCCGCCACTAAAATAATTAACATTTTTCCAGTTGGTCATTAGAGCCAACTTACACGCATCTTTACTTTGCGTGCAGACATCTGACAACAACTCTTATATGACAAAGGTTAACAAATGATCCATCTTTCTTCCTCTTGGTACATAAGCCCTTAGTATTAATAAACATAACACCACATCACTACCTCACAAACGGTTCTATGAGCGACTTGGTATATATTTCAATATTACTCTAATTTTTCGACAGGCGAGTTACAACTACAAAAATTGGTGGACGAAGCAAAACCAGAGATTTTTTATTTTCTATAGTTCTTCTAAAGTGTCTCGGATATCATAGTTATTTTATTGCATCAACCAAATATATTAATAGTAATAAAAAAAATAGTTATTTTTTAATTTTTACATTTATTTAAAATTTAGATACAAAAATTTTGCAAGATAATTGCATTTATTTTGTTGGCTTAAATATTAATTAATTTTTAATAGTTTACATCACTATTATCAAATTATATATTGTTTTTTATTTTAATTAGTTGAAATTAAAATGTAAATTAATTTAATTATGTGTATATGTGGTTTTATAATGTGTAAGATTTTAATCATTTACAATTGTCAATAAAATCTGTATTATACATTAGTAATAATTATACTAATATATAATAAAACTAAATTAAAAAAATGTTTTTAAACAATTTTTAATCAACTTTAATTAATAATTATTTTAACTAAATTAATCATTTTTAAAATAATCATTAATATATAATAAAATACAGTTTTTATTTACATTATATATATAAAAACTTAAATTTAAATATATATAAATTTATTCCTTGCATTTATATTTATTATGGTATAGATATGAAGCGGTTGTTTCAATTAAGCAGAAATTTGTAGTTAAAGATAAAGCTTTGAATATTTATAAAGCAGAGCTTTAAATCAAACCGAAATCGAACCAGTCTTAAACAACAACGTCCGATTTTAGAATATATTTTAACCGACCTACTAGATAAATCTATGAATATTTATAAAGCAGAGCTTTAAATCAGGCCGAAATCGAACCAGTCTTAAACAACAACGTCCGATTTTAGAATATATTTTAACCGACCTATTAGTTTTGCAAGTACTGAACCGAAAGCGTAGAAGAGCCGGGATTTAAACTAAAGCAATATGGCAAAAATTTATGTGGTTCATAGCCATTGTATATAGTACTATCTTTATCGCCACACTGTATAGTGTTATTTTATATTTTTATATATTTGATTTGATTGATATTTATTATTATTATTTAACATTAATGCATTAATTATATATTAATATAATTATTACAAAAGTATACATATATTAATAGTGTAAATATGTTGATAATAATTGCAGTAATTGAAAATAAGGCTTTATTGAAATTTGGTTTTTAAATAAATTAGTGTTACCCTGTAAAATATTTCATATTTTCAAAATTAATAAATAAATATAGAAATTATATAGAAGTTAATTTTGTAAAATAAATATTGACAGGTACATAAGTAATAAATTTTTTAAAAAAAATTATTTCGCTATTAGTTTTTACAATATTTGTTTTATTTAAAATATGTAAAATATGTGGTAGTTTTCAAATATATAAATAAACAAATACAGAAGTTATTTTTGTAATATGTATAAGTTATAAATTTTATATTATTAAAACATGTGTTTTATAAATTAACTAAAAAATCAATTCATTGACAATTTTAAAAATATTTATATTTTGTTTAAATTATTATTTTTATATATAAAATAGAACGTAGTTTTAACATAAATAAATCAATACAGAACATTAATTGAAGTATAAAAAAATAATAAAAATCAAAAGGAACTTCTAATATATTTATATTATTAAAAACTGTAACAAATGCTTCGCTAAAAAATAATTGATTTAATATTTGTAGTGATTATGTCACTAAAAAAGGAATCAATTTATACATTAATTTTCTTTTACCCAGCAATTTACAAAGGTGTATTAAATAAATCAATACAGAAAATAATTTAAAACTTATTTAATTAAGAAGAATGTCTTTTATCGTTATTAATAACTATATTACACTATTAATAAATAATTGATTTATTGACCGTTTTTGATTTTGATGTTTTAAATAGACGAAGATAAAACTTTTATTTACGTATATATGTAATTTCAACAAAAATTACAAAAATTTAATTATATAGTTATGTAATTTTTAAATTATATCAGAACAATTTAAAAAATTATTTACTTTTTAATAAAATTATAAAACCACAATATTGTCTTAAGTTTAAAAAACTGAAACAAATGAATTATAATAACTTCAAATGAATTTATATGATAAGAAAAATAATTCAAATTGTTTAATTATCAGCCCTATATGTATATATACATATAACACAGTAAATTAGTTATGCGATTTTTTAAATTCTATTTATGTGCTCACTTATTTTCGCATTATATATATACATTTAGTTTAGTTTTTAACATAAGAGTAATTTATATTATAATTTTTAAATAACTAAACTAAATAACAATATTGTTTCGCTATGTTTAAAGAATATAATTCTTCACAGTTATTTTATAAATAGACATTAAATGATATTAAAGCACTACAAAGACTAAAAATTTAACATATTAAATAATATAATTTTTTTTAAGACTAAAGACAACATTGAAATCTATATATTGAATAACATCAACGACATAAATATTTATTTGCATATTCTGTTTTTATTTCACTTCAATACATATTAAACTAAAGTGTACTTATTTTAATATATTAATTAGTTAACTAATTTTTCTCACACATATATCGAAGAAGAAATTAATTTAAATTTAAAATTTTATCATATATTTCTAATAAAAGAGCGTCAAATAAATTAAAATATATTATGAAATTAAAAAAAAAAATATTTAGGTTTATAAGAAATTAATATATATCAGTACTCCAAAAAAAAAAAATTAATTATTTTTATATAAAAAAAAATCGTAATACAAAAGGTATTTTTTTGTTTGAGTTTCAGAGCTATTCAAAATCTTTAATATTAAGTTAAATTTTAATATTTTAACTTAGATTCTATATACCTAAATAAGAAAAACGTTTTAAAAAATAAATGAGAATGATTAAAAATATGTTTCCTATAGCTTGAGTTTAATACTTTATTTATGATCAAAAAATAAAGTGAAATTAATATTATTTTTTATATTTTTAAAGAGAACATATTAGTATCGGATTATCTTAATGCTTGAGGTGATATAATAGTCCATGGTGATTGCAGTTAATTTGGGTATCAGCGATAGGAATGGAACAGATTGTTGAATTAGGTTAGGACGACATAATAAACCAGGACTAAAGCCGAGTAACTTGACTTTTTCATTTGATTTAAATAACAGCTATGTAGAGTACATTAAGTTTTAATACAACCAGACGATATACAAATTTATGGTTCAAGAAAAATATTTGGAGATAAAATTATATATATTTCGCTTGTCTGGGAGAAAAGCGTGATACTGAGAATATTAATAAATTATTATAATAAAATATTATTAAAGTTTCAAGAACGGTCGGGTCTACGTTCCGGAGCCACTCGTTACCTACGTCGACCAAGTACCGTTCAACATCTCCCAAAGGGACTCCACAAGCAGGTCCCGGCGGGTTACAACAACAACATTAAAGTTTCATTGTTTATAATGGAGATATGTGATTTTGGGGTATATTTAAATAATTTTCAAAATATCGTTTTAACGTGAAATAAAATTCGAATATTATTATTATAGAATATTTAAATAGTTTAAATATTTTTATAGAAAACAATTTTAATTAAAGCATATATTAAGCAGATTTTTCCATTATGACTGTAGTAAGACATTTTAAAAAATATATAGATATAAAATATCTCAAACTTTTTAAAAATACGTATATTAAAATTTAAAAAAAAATGTTTTATATTAATAAAATGATTAGATCAATATTTCAAGAAAACTCAACAAATCAGTTGCATTAAAAATATGGTAAGGTGTAGCAAATTAGCAACATATATTATTATCATATTATAAAAATACATACTGCAATAAACAAATATCGTTAAAATTAAATTTTAAGCCTCTTGGAAAATCGCGTTACATGTTTTTGAATCGGTATAAATGTATATTATGTTTGAGATATAAAAATAAATGTGTGTAACCTATGCTATTTCCAATTGCAACAAAAAGTCATTAAAATATTATAAATTAATTGTTTTCTTTTGGTATATATTGCATTTTAATAGAGTTTTACTGCTCTGAAACTTTTTTCTTTTTAAATTTATTAATAAGAGATACCAGTTTGTATTATGTCTATTGTTTAAAATATAAAAATGTTTTAGTAATGTGTAAATAACTTATGTTTTTGTTTTGTTTTAATTTTAATGTTGAGTTTGTTTTTTGGTGGATTGTTTGGGCATTCGTCGATGATGGGTACCGCCGTTTTTATCATGCGATATTGAATTGGATTGCGATCCAGACATAACTGGAACATTTGTACCTTGACTTACTGTGGCAACTTTTTGTGGATATGGTATTTTGAACAGGCAGATATTTAGATGGTTACATATTTCTCTGCAAACCTTTTAATAACAAAATAAAAATGAATGTATTTCAATTATATTTCAACAAAATTTAATTTTATTTTACATACCTGAGTGCAATACATTATCAGATCTTGTGTACTCCAAATAAATGTTAACCAAAGTAAGTAAATTTCAGGAACTGGACAATTAAAATATTGGTTGAGGAACAATAATGCAGGTCCAAGTAATGACCAATCACAATATTCCATTTCTGCTTTAGTCATATGTGCAATCTGTACACAGAAAAAATAATTAATTTCAATTTATAAATGCAAAAGTAAGTTTTTAAGTTAAAAATTTATTTTTTCAATTAAAAATTAATATGTTAAAAAATTTTAATTAATTTAAAATTATTCTATATAAAAATAAACATATAAACTGGAATGCAAAGTAAAGAGAAATAGGTATTTGATAATAATATAGGTAGATATTACAATGGATTTGTGAGTTGGTCAACTAGACCGTAAACTAAAGTAGTTACTTCACTAGAGTCCAAGAAACACTTTGAACAGAATATATCTTTTTAATAGCATAGCTCTGGTTTTTAATTCTGAATATTCAAGATTTTAAAAAATTTATATTAGACCAGTTTAGTATGTGTTGTTCCAGAATTCTAGGTTCCGATTTAGGTTACGATTTTCATTCAACGAAATTAAAATTAAAATATTGTGATTCAGTTAAACTTGCATTTCATTTTTCTAATTCAGAGCGAGTAGTTATTGGTTGCCAAAGCAAACTATTAATTACTTCGATCGCCCCGTCGTTCTTGCAAGCAGGATCTACTATATCGATTCATGTATTTGTCACACTACATATATTATATATATTTTAAACTTCTTATTCGGATTTCGACTTATATAATAACATAATTCAAACATACTCACCACAAGTTTGTTGGTAATTTTGGCAGCTACCATTCCAAATGCCATTATGTATAGCGAAGAATGTTCCACAAATAAGCCTTGTGGTGATTTTTGAGCAATAATAAATGCTGGTAAAATCACTAATGTCAGTGGTATACTCGGGGAAAGTACACTTGTACCCTTGATATTAAACAAGGTAAATAAAGAATAATATATAAATTATATATTGCTATAAAAGAGTTGTTTAAAAGGACAACACAAATGAAAAAAAAAACTTTTCGCATATTTATTTTGCAATTTAATTATAATTATAATTTATTATTGAGTTTAAGTTTATATTTTCTGTATTTTTCGCAATTATTACCGAAAAGTTTTTTTTTTTTTAATTTAAATAATTTCTTTAAATACTTCTTTTGGCTTTGAAATGTTTTTTTTTTTTTTAGTTTAAGATACGGTTTTGAAGCATACTGTGTAGATTTTAGCAAAGTGATTTTATAGAAATAAGTAAAGTATACTTAGAAAGTGATTAAGTGCAACAAATACTTATAAAATTGTTTTGTGGTGAAAAAAAATATATTTAGTGTGGTGAATTTATATTAAATACATATATGATAAGTAAAAGTTTAATAAAATACAGCGTTTATTAGATATTTAAATGGTTAATTACAAATTATGTTAGCTAATAAATTCAAGCAACTAATATTATTACGTAGCAACATGCACTATACTACAAATGAGAACCAAATGAGAATTAAAAACATAATTGTTAAGAGTGTTTACACATGTGATTTAAAAAATTAAAATATTCTTAAATAGTATATCTTGACTTTTTAATATTATAGATAACCACATAATTGTAAAATACATCCAAAAAAAATTTTAGATATGAAAAAAATAAATTTAAAATAACTAACTAAAAATTTAAAACTTTAGTTTGTCTAAATTGATATAACAATAATTTACAATAATTTAAAAAAGACGTTAGAGGGCAAGAATATAAACTAAACTGAGTTTTAAAAAACTACATATTATTTTTAGAAACATATAAGAACTGTGGACTAAGATTTACAATATTAAAGAACACAAAAATGATAGAAATCGATTTTTTCAAAATGATAAAAAGTTAAAAGATTTTAGGTAGGAAAAAAAACTGCAGTAAGTAAATATTAGAATTGTGAAATCCGGGAAGTAGCGATTTGTTGAATGTCATTATATGGAAATCAATTTTGGCAGCATTCTCATATATAGCTTAGTTCTTAAAATGCTGGACCTAAGCATACTACTGTATATCTACTATATATTTTTTCTAACATTGAAGTTAGTGAGCCGGTCATTAAAGTCCCCACTAATAGATGACAAATAGTTCAAGAAGTATGTAGTTTCATATATTTAAGTAATTAAACATTTCTAAATTAAACGTAATAATGTACGCCAGTTTAAAGAGTGATTAATAATGTCCAAATTGTATCTGGAAAAAGTTGACCTACAACTATTAATCAATAGTTTAATAAAGGTTTATTATTTTGAAAATTATAGCTATATTCATTGTATAGAACTTTGTTTTAATATATTTTACGTATAAGAGATATTCCATATTCGATTTCAAAGTAATTTGCGACCGACTTAAGTGAATATTCTTGCTTTAGGCTGTTGTAGCGAACCTACTTTCTAAAGTCTGTCTTCGTATAAATGAAAAATTTCGATAGGACAGTTATGATATGCCTGATATTATTGTAGCTTGTATGGAAAACCTGAATGTAGAATTGCTTATAAGTTTATTTCAGGAGGAGTGAGTGACATTTGGTAGTGTAAAAAGACAAATAGCTTTGATGTAAACCGCTCGCCTCTAGAAGTTCAAGTACTTGATACTCGATTAGAGATACCTGCAGGACGTAGAACCGATCGTTTAAGGAACCAACTGAACTGTATTTCACATAAAGATTTTCCTATCATTTAATAAATGCATTATATAGATATTTTTTTAATATTCTAATTGATATTATGTTCCCATGAATATTATAAAATATTCTATGAATTTTTATACTTGACAAATTTTATGCTGACTTATATATTACAGTATCATTTCTAATGCTATAAATGGATTATGTTCAAAAAGCTTTTCATATAGATTTTTTACAGTTGTGTTGTACATTGAATTTATAATTATAATATATAATCTAAGACACATAAAAATGTTTTAGTGGAAATTTGTATTGAATCAATGTGCTTCATGAGATATATATATCAATATATATAAAAGCGATTACTTTCTACAATAATATGTGCTTGGAGTATGTATGTGCTTACTAAGTGATTATATATTGTATATAAAGTGTTTGCTATTTTTTTAGAACTGAATAGTTTGGGACAAATATATATATATATGTATATATAAAGATATATATGTAGCAATGTGATTTGTGGAACTAATAAAAAAATATGAAATGACCAACCAATATGTCAGAATTTCATATATAAACAATAAATGTGGGCCAATTATATTAATATTGTTTTTGAAATGACTCAGTAAGTCTTACAGCGACTGATGATCCATTCTTGCCACATCCCTCAGTAGTAACGACTTTTGCATAACGTAAAGCTAATAATAAATGAACACCACAAGCTACATACAGTGGCATTCTTCTTAATTCGCATCCAAATAAAGGCAGCTAAGTGACAATTTAAAAAAAAATTCAATAAAAGCAATTTAAATAAATAAATAAAATTTATTAAATAAACTATATATATGAAAAAATATTATTTTTCAAAAAAACCTTTGTCTAGAATTAAAGAGAATTTTAAAGGAAATTGTATGAAGCACAGTTTTATTAAAAAATTTAATGTGCAACATGCCTCAATATGGTGCGACACTACTAATCTATTGAATAGAATATATTAAAATTAGAAATTTTTTCTTAATTTGAATACTAAGATTTTTAGAAACTAAATAAAACGACTTTAACAGCTGTGTGCGAGTTGAGCTAAATTAACTACACTAAATTAAATTCTTTGGTGAAATTGTCAAAAAAAATTACGAAACAAAATAACATTAAGACAATAAAAGGCTAATTGTGTTATATCACAATTAATTATAAATATAATATAATTTAAATATAAATATATAAATATAAATAAATAAATATAATTAGCTAATTAGCAATATTTTGTACTAAATTATTGTTATATATAATATGAAACCGATAAAGCTGTAGTAAAAAATTTTTTATTTGAAATTTATGATAGTTTATAACCAAAATAAAAATACATAAAAAAATTAATACTCTTTTAAAAGCTTTGAACTATAATTAATTTTCTTCTTGAAAAATAAAAATAGATTCTATTAACTTTCATATTTTTTGTTACATTATGATCTATTTAATATAAAAAACATTATTAATTTTTCGAACAGCTTTTGATAATAATTAAATATTAACACTTTAAAACAATTTGTTATTATTTAATAGAATTGCAAATTGACTAAATCTGGTTTTTCTCACTGCCTTATCGGTATAGTTTAGTATACCCGTCAATTTAGTAAGACTTCAGCTCAACTCGCACACAAACAATATATAAAAATTAGTCAATGTAATTTTATTTAATATAAGAAAACTGCTTATAACAAAATGTTTCATTACAAAAACCCTTTTTCTTATATTATAGAATATTTTATTATAAATAATATTCAACCTATCTTAATGTTTTACATTATAATATAAAAAAAGATGATTTTAATGAATATTTTAATCTAAATAAAACTGAATATGAAAACTATTGATTTTGTTATCTACTACATTGATATTATTACCCAATACGATGAAAGTTCGAACGAACGCACCTTATATAGTACATACATATTCTGAGTCTGGTGAATACTATTTTATTAATAAAACCAACTACAAAAATATACCATATACTATCAATGGAGAAAATGTATATTGAATCAGTTTTTAATTGAATGACCTTCGAATCTATATATAAGAACGTTTTTATAATGCCCGCAAATGTTTCATAAACCAAAAATGTCAAATCCCATTATGTATTAGAAGTAGAGCTTCAAACATTATTCGAGCTATTCGAAACTTCGAGTATTTTGATTTTCGAGTATACTTGCGTTCGAGCAGAGTGAGTTGCTTCAAAATATGGGATGATTTACTGTGATACATATTTGTATTTAATTTAATATAAAAGAGACTTGCTTTACGAGCACCTTGAACATTTTCGAATATTTAAAGTGTTCGATTTAAAGATTCGAATTCGAGTATACATGAACTACTCGAACATCGTACTTCTCGAATATTTTGTAGCCCTCATTAAAAGTCAACCCAGCACTTATGACCCATCCTGTACTTAACCGTGTACAATTATCAGCAACCAACACAATGTATGTTGAGTTTGTTGAATTTTGAGCATTACGAATTCAACTTGTGGTGAATATGTAGTAATCACTGTTTTTAAATGAGTTCCCGTTAATTATTTGTCTAATGAAAATTAAAACAAATTAGTGATTAAAATATATTAGAAAATTGTAAAATAAAAATTATTAAAAATAGAAGCCAAACCAAACGACAGCTAATTTTGTTAAAGGGAAATTAATGTTGCGTGTATAAATGTGTAATGTTTTTTTTTTTTTTGTATTAAATTGTGTTTATTCTTGTAATATTCGCTTCATTATTTATTTGTTAACCAAAAGTTAAGAAATCTAAATTTTATTTGATAAAAAAATTGTGTTGGAATGTTTTGATTAACTGAAAATTTAATGCTTACTGCAACTGTGGACCCATTTTTGCCACTGCCTCCTTCACTAAACATTTTCGAAAATTGTACTACATTTAATAAATAACCCAAAGTAACTCCAATTAGTATTATATAATTCCAATGACAGCCAATTATTGGAATCTGTTGAATTCGAAATTTTAGAAAATTGTTTAAATTTTATATATAAAGTGAATTAGACCATGTAAAAAAAATAATTAACAAAAAAAAATAATATTTAAAATAAAGTAAAATATAAAAAAAATCTAATGAGATAAAATAATTATAAAGGGACTTGAGAGGATATTAGGACAGAGTGAAAGCTCTCTTAAGCAGATATCGATAGAATCAACAATTCTGTCCGATTAAGAATATAATAATAATAATACGTCTTGTTCGACGTCTATGATTTCGAGCAGCCTCTTATACTGGACATAGGCTGTCTACAAGCCGTTTCCATCTTTCGCGCCGTAATTATGTATTAAGATTAAGAATATAGTTCATTTAAAAGATTGTTGTTTGTCAGAAATATCTCTATTGATAAACCCGGCCGTTTAACAGAACTTTCACTGCATTGTGGAAACATTTGATAATGTATATTATAGAATTCTTTATTTAAAGAATTCATTTTTTCATTTTTTAAATTTAGAACCATTGAAATACAAATTCAGTTTTCATTATAACACCAAAAACTTTTCTAACGAATTTATAACCACTTATCATATCATAAATATTAATTATGCTCTGGTTTATAAAAAACGACAGTCTTAGGTATATAAATATATAAAAAATATTACAATTAACTAAATAAAGTGAAATTCAAATAACATATATAGTACGAGTACATATTATTAACTAAAGCAAAGTCGTATTTTAACAATATCTACCATGACAATTATATTGTACTAAAATCTTCTTTATGCGCTTTTTTTTTGTTCTTAAATATAACAGAGAGAGAGAGAGAGAGAGAGGGAGAGTACTAATATTTATATATGAATATGTAAATATATATTAAAATTATTCTTAAATTGTTTTAAAAGGCCCTTATACCAAGTATAAAATAAATTTATATTATATATAAAAAAATATGCTATGCGTTCCGTTAAAAAAGCATCTATAAGCTTTGTAAACATATATAAGTAATAAATCCTTTACTAAACATATATCTAAATTCTACGAAATATATAAAGCATTCCTGTGGTTGTGTATAAAAAGTATTTGGTTAAAAAATAAAAATAAATTATAATTTGACGATAATTATTTTAAGAATATATAGGATAATATTAATAATGTACATGTTAATTTTATTTTATTTTTATGAATATATATGCATATATCAATATTGAATAAAAATTGCTTAATATATTTATTAATAAATATTTTAATATGCAAACAATTATTTGATAATGTATACTTTATTATTTTGATACATATTTTTATTTATATGTTATATAAATAATTGTATATGTACATATATTTAATTCAGACTAATATATGTCTGAAATATATATTTATTTATATTTATATAAGAACTTTTCATATATTATACATTTGTATATTGTGAATTTTTATATATAAATATTATGTATTTATTTTATGTATCCAAATTGGACTAATAAATACTGAAAATATAGTGGAAAAGATGACAGCCATCCCAGAGAACTGGCGAACGATAGAGTCATATGTGATTCAAGTCCTCAAAGAAGTTAGACCTAGAAAAGAGTATCAGAAGCTAAGCTAATAAAGACACGAAGAAAATGCGGTAAAAAGGTTGAGATCTGGACGCAGATCGAAAAGCAAAAGAGCATGACTTGAAATGCCAACATAAAAGAGACCCTACTCGAAATAATGCGAAAGCGTTTATGAGAAGGAATAAATCTCTCCGAAGCAGGGGTGTTTTCATTTGTATATTAATTATTAATGTTAGGGAGTCGGCACAACATTCTGATGATGGTCGTCGTCTAGCGGAGCAAAAAGCAATTCACCTTCTCAACACAAAAAAGATAAATTCACTTTATATATTATTATAATACATATAAAGTTATAATACATAAAGTTATTAGTGGTCGCTAAGTGTGTCTCTGACTTGAACTACAGATTTTTTCTTTTTAAAATTATTCACTATTGTAAAATAACAAAAATACCTTTAAGTTTTAATTAGTAATAGAATCAAATCTGACAGACTTAACTATTGCATAGAGTATCGTGAATAGTTCTGAATAAACCTTCATAAAACTGTGATAAGAGTCATACTGACGTCTGCTTTAGTGACAGGACAAAAAAGGACGACAAAAAACAAACTGAAATGCCGAAACACAATCAGCGCCGTACATGAAGTTAAAAAAGTGTCACACGATATGTATAACAATGAACTATACCAAGTCTACAATGATCATCTGTGGCACCTCATATCAATTTGCATGCATATTTTGTAATATGGGGTTACCATATTATTCGAGAGATGAAATCGTACGATTTTGCGGTAAGTAGATGTAGAATCGCCAAATAGAAGAAATATAACTGAAGACGGCAAATGTTATAAGGAAAAATTTATGACGGTTATAATGTAGAAAACACGGATAATAATGATAAAGTTTAGGTTATGAAAAACTTCGCTCACTGACGGCACAGATATTGCACATTAACAGCATTAAGGAAGCTATACAATACATATCTGGAAACAGGACGAACTTATATATCAGAAAAGAAACAACGCATATGTTAAAAAATCAAGACTAAACGAGAAACAAGAGTAGTGAAAAAACCCACTGTTTCAATATTCCACAGGGATCTGCTTGTAAAATCTCTTCGAAGGATCGGGGAGGGCACTTAATATTTTTTATTCATTTGGAATTTTTTGACATGGTGACACTGCATACGATCTAATCTTCTCATACCAACGTAGTTACGCCACTAATACTTTTGTATATATAAATATATACACAAATATATAATATGTATAATAAAATTTTTTTATTTAAAGATAACATATACAATAATTATTTATATAACATATAATTTATAATAATATATATAAATATGCATACTCAATGTTTCTTTTTATTGAATAGTATAATTATACCAAATAATTGTTTTAAATATTTTAAATATATGGGAAAGAGCTTTAAGGGTTTTAGGCAAAAATATGAAATCTCCAACAGAATGATGAATCGATTTCTGACTCCAATGAGCTAACATATTAAAGTAGCTTTTATAGATTGTGTGCAAGATGCCTATCATGCAATTATTTCAAGTTATAATCTTAATAATAATAATATTATATCAATGATGTAGGCAATCGATTCATCACCATGTCGGAGTCCAAGAATTGAGCTATCTACATTGTTTTTGTTCAAAATTTAAAGTTAGCCAAAAGATTGTATATATAATAAAAATATTTATGGAAATTTCGATTTGGTTTACATAGAAAAAAAAATTAAAACTGTATGGGATATTTAAAGTCAGGAACTTACAGCAACTGTTGAGCCATTTTTGCCAACACCGCCAGCCAAAATAACAGAGAATATATACGTCAATGACCAGAAACCCAAAACTATTGTTGCTAGCGATAAGGTGGACCATATTTCTATTTTACCAAAAATCTATAGGAGGGTATATTTAAACAGTTAAGGGTGTTGCTGTTTTACATATAAACAAAATCTTGTTTAATTCGAATTATTAAATGATTTTTTTTTAAATTGTTTAATTCAATACTTAAATTAACACTTAAAATAAAACCAAGCAAAAAATATTAAGTACATATACTTTTTTAAATATTAATATTGTTGGTATGCAGAATTTGAAATTAGATACAGTATATAAGTAAAAATAAATGTTTAATACTAAATAAATTAGAACAAGTAAAGTTTAAATATGGTTTACTGAATTTATATATAATTATAAGAGATTTTAACACATAATAGACTATCAACAAATTAAAATATTTTATGAAATAAAATAAAAAAGCAATATAATATAAAAATATTTATACCTGTTCTAGATAACTTTTAAAATTTAAAAGGAATATACGATATATAAAACTAAAATTTAACATTGGAAAGATAAGTTGTTTTATTTCGATAATTATTTAAACCAGTCATTCAAAACATTTTTTTCCTATGATCCTCTGATCGATTTGCGAAGTAGCGAATAATTTAATATACAGAAGATTTTTTTAATTGACGTGACATACTTCTTGGAACACAAAAACTATTATTAGTATAATCTCTAACTGTTGATATCTGTGTAATATATTTATTATATTATTATAACAGTTATCTAATATTATCTAATATTAATAATATCTAATATTATCTAATAATAATATTAAGATAAGGAGTAAATAATTTTATGTCATTATTAAGGTACTTTTTTTTCTATTCCTTGTAAATACTCGAATATGAAAAGATTCAACGGAATATAATTTATTAGCCTTATAGTATATATAGCTCTACAATGGAACCCCAAGCTGCAAGGAACAGAAGACGCCCAAAGATGATGTGGCGTAGAAACGTTAATAAGGAAACGAACGAAACATTTAATGAGTTAAGGCATATAGCTAGAAACAGGGATTTGTATAAGTCCTATGTAAATAGACTAAGTTCTTAATTTACCCCTTTGATGTAATGCCAGAACATGTCAATAATAATAATTATTATTGAGTTAATGGTATTCCTAACGCTTATACAGATTAATATGAAGTTTCTGTTCGAACACTGCGGTGTCCGTATTAGCAAGATGTTTGGATTATAGGTTGCACAGATAATCGATAGCATACTGTATTTGAAGTTACTTTTTATACTTAAGTGAATTGTATGGACATATTAGAGTAATTCGGTAGATTGAAACTTTTCACACAGTTTAGTTTATTTGATTATCTTTACATGTGAGTTAATAAATATTGTATTCAAAAAAGTTGAATATACAATAAAGTAAATTTCACTCGTGAGCGGACCTTTAGAGCAAAAGAGAAAATTTGAATTTGCTAAGTGTTGCCATAGGCAAAATATAAGTTTTTTTTTTATAGTTGATTTGTATTATTCGTATTAATCGAAAAAAAAAAAATGTTTTTTTAAGTAAATATTGTTCGTTGTATATATTATAGCAAATTTAGTTCGAGTTTGTAATCAGCGAATAAAATTACACATATTAAATAAAAATAAAGTGGGTAACTTTGACTTAATTTTATACAGTAAAAATACTGTATATATAACCATAATTATATATCTATCTATGAAACACATAAAAAATAAATTAGATTATATTTTAAATATAGAGCAAAATAAATTATAAAAACGCAAATTATTTTCTTCTCAGGTTCAGTTTAACCTGAACTTAGTTTTTTTTTTTAAACTGATAATACTTGTAGTATTATTGCTTAAAAAAATTTATCAATTATATATTTCATCTCCTTAATATTATACCTTATAAGTTTATATTGACTTCCTAAACCTCATTCAAGTATAAAAAATCAAAATTAAAATGAAATTAAAAATTAATTGTATTAATTAGTCCAGTGTTCAACACTTATCAATTGCAAAGTAATCATACCTTAGTCATCCAAACCTCTGAACCGAATATGGCAGATATAACATGTATACCCATTATAGTGAATTGAGCTTCAGTAACATCTATTTTACCAAACCGTAATGTGCCTGAAACGTATGTTTGCCAATGAGCGCAATAAAAAAGTCCAATGGCACAAAAGCACTTAAAAAAATTAATTAAAAAATTATTTATACGTTATTGAAAAAATATTTAATGTATATACCTGAAAGAACAACCAATTTGGATAATGACCCAGCTGACATGATACACAAGCAGATAACGCCACGAAAACTGTAGATATTGAGTCGCAGCCATGGTCAAACAGTTCTCCTAATGGTGATGAGGTGTTCGTGCGACGTGCTTGCTTGCCATCAATAGAGTCTAAACTTTGGTATATAAATAAACCAAGTGCACAGAGAAAACAACTCCATCGAGGCGGTGCGGATTTGCCATCTGGGCTATAACTGAAAAACATAATAAAAATTAGTATTAATTAATAATTATATGTATATAATTATATATAACAAATAAGTAATAAAGTTTAAAATAATTTTGAAGATCTTTATAGATGGATAGTTTTATTTATTACTTTTTTCGTAGTTTATGATATGTTTAAAGTATTAGCTACTCAAGCCCACATATAATAATACTAACTTCCCTAGAAGTTAGTTATGGAAGCATAGACATTTTATTTAGAGATTATACAGATCCCAACTTTAAAGATAATTTTTTTTAAGAAATTCTAATGTTAACAACTTTGTAGCAGTTTGAAGTCCACACAACATTTATATGTATTATATATATGATGTATATATATTATATATATATAATTTATATATATTATTTATTTCAAGGACTTAACCTATTTGTTAGCTTTTGGAACGCTGTTACAAAAGAATTTTATTGTTAGTTGTTCTTATTTAAATTGACCAAATTTGAGGGAGTGGACTACGATTATAAGAAAAACCAGATGAGTACATTGCAATTAATACATTCAATATCAGGATTTCAGAAAATCCTCATCTTGGTAAGACGGATCTACCAATCAATTGCAATAAAATTTACTGCAGTTGCAATATCAACACTTCTGAAAGTCACTATCAATTGCAATTAGATATATATTATATATGTAATGGCATAGTGAAGAAGATGGACGTCATTATGTGTAGAGCTACAGTTGTACACTGATTAAGTAAAAACCGATTTATTTGTAATAAGTTAGAATATAGCATATGTTTTTATATTAACCCCAGAGAGCTCAGTACAGTTTTTTGAGTCCAATTTATCTTTTTGTGTGAGAGGTGGTGAACGAAGGTTTGTTGATAACTGGTATACAATGAAGCTATGATTTTGAAAGAAATTAATGTGTACGGCTAAAAGGCCTAATCTGTAGTTTATATCACGGAAATAACGAAATTGTAAATAGACAAATGCTAAGGTTAGGTATTCTACTAGATGTCAATGAGTCATTCATACTACCTACTGGTATGAAAACTATATGATTTTTATGTTAAAGGATATGGTTCAGAAAAAGGGAACCAGAG